GTTGTGGATATCTCAACATTGAATCATGTACCATATCAATCCTCTTTTATGTAGCATGCTACTTTCTGTCTACCAAGTTACTAACCTAACTTTCACAATTTGCATTAATTTCTCACAGGCCAGTAGAAGCAAGAGCAAGATGGTGATAATCATGATCATGTTGCTTAGAGCTTTAGAGCCTTGAATAGATAACCATAAGTGATGATGTACTTGGATGAAGAATATACTCTGTTTTGTCATCACTTGCATTGTGAAGCTTTGTGAATTTCGGAAATTTAGGAATATTGTTGTTACATTGTTCTGTACTTTGTATCATTGTCCAAGTAGAGAGATTGGATAGCTGTCTCATGTATCATTTTAGATGGCCAAGATCAATTTTAAACATTTTGTCAGATCTCATACCGCTAAGATCAAGAAGGTAGCTTTTTTAAAGTTTCTTGAATATTTTGGAAAGACTGATTATTTCTTTCTAAGATCAAATGGTGAGAGATTGTTTTTTCACCTTTAAATTCCCTCTCAATTGTGTCATGTTTGTTAATAAATTCCATCTTTAAAGATCTCTCAATTTTTTGTATCTTGCTTCACTTCAAAGCTCACTCCACAAACCTCTATCCATCTCTCCTCTCTTTTAACCATCTACATTTTATCTCATTCATTCTCTCTTGACATGTGGGTATGATCTATGTTTGATCTTGAGGGTTTATTTCTTGGGAAGTGTGTAGTTTTCTTTTATTATAGGTATGTGCAGCTCATTTATTATTTCAAGACTCAATTTATGGGTATGTGATTATTTGTGACTTTTGGTGCATATATGTTGATAGTTTTGTGAAATAATTGATTTCAATGTTTTCTTTGGTGGGTTTTAAAGGTAGAATGAGAGAAAAGCTTAACACTATGACAGATTTTTGACCTAACAGAAAGAGTGACTTTAAATTTTTTTTGTTCATATTTTTTAATTCATAGTCATTTTTTTATTTTTTTTAGAGGACCGTAGTTATTGATTTTTTGTTTGTTTTTTTTATTATTATGCTATCTACTTTAAGCAAGAGGAGTCTAGCTGATGGAATTGCCTAGTTTTAATTTTGGTGTCATTTTGAAAGGAAAAAATGAGTAATATTGAATTTTCAAATTACTTTCCAACTAACTTTTTAGTTTTCTTCTAATCTCATTTTCTATCGGCTTTTATTTGTTGATCAAATTTTTATCTATGTTGCGTTTGAGTGATCTAATGAAAATTACTGTTTTTGTTTAGGACCGCTTAATTGAGCATAGTCTATTGCTTGCCTTTTTTTAGCAATTATAGTATTAATTTTTAATCATAACTATTTTCGAACTCATAACCCATTTGATATATTTATTTGAAATTATACGAACAATTCGTGAGATAGTATGCAATAATTGATAGAAAGCATACTTAGATTTTTTTTTTTCCCTTTCCTTTTCGAATGTTTTTAGGCACAAGTCATTCGCTAATTGTCATATATGAAAATGAATTAAAATAGCGAATGACCGTTGCCTGATTGGGGGTAAAAAGATCTTAGTATCTTTGTAGAATTTCCACTGAGATTGCTTACGAAAATTACAGGGTAAGTCATTTTTTTTATGTTTTTATTTCTTCGCATCTTGATTGTAACCCATTAAGTATTTTCTATCCGTGACACTTAATTACTGAAATTAATTTTGGAGAAATTGCAAATCAGTGGTAAGACCAAAAAAAATTGCAAAATCATGGGAAACTTTATCACTTAAATTATTAAAGTTGATAAGCTTTACCATTGATTGGCAATTTTCCTATTAATTTTTAGATTTTATTATCGATTTTGCTATCAATGGTTTTATTTCAAAAAGTGGAGAGATGAGTTGACTTTTGGCTATTCATTTTAAATTCTCAAAAGATGTACAAGTGATTTGCCAAAACACATTTGACTGGTATGTATGGTTGCTACTTTTTGTAAGGTTGCTATTTTTCGTACAAGTGATTTAGTATTTTTCATGGATGTACAAGTGATTTAGTATTGCTCAAAAAATGTACAAGTGATTTAGTATTAGTCAAAAAATATTGTTGGTTGCTCAATGACCCAATGTCTAGCTTTATATTGAACTGCCTAGGTATATTAGTTGTTTCTCAACTTAATTAGTTATATCTAAAAGTTTGCATAACATTTGTAGGTTTTTGGTTGATGTCAGATTGTGTTGGGACCACATTTTTCTCATGTCACATTGTTTGTAGGCAAGTTAAATAATTATTATTTTTCCTATATTTTTCTCACATAGTTTCAGGTTTATAATTTGCAAGGAACTATTACAATGTGATTTGCAGCAGTAGCACTAGCAGGTGTACATTGCTTAGTATTTAAATTAATTTTTTTAGATTGCAGAGCACAGGTTGGTGTGCATTTCAATTTTAATTTTCTTAGATTGCAGAGTAATAGCTGGTGTGTGTTGGTTGGTATTTAATTTTAATTCTTTTTTTTTAATTGCAGAATACTGGCTGGTGTGCATTGTTTGGTGTAATTTTTTTTGGATTATAGAGTGTTAACAAATGTAAAATACCTTGGTTTGTATGTTTTGTTTTGTGTTTACAATTTTTTATTAACTTGCTTAGCAAGGATGCTTTTATTTTTAATGTTTGCATTGATATGAAGTTTATACTTTAGAGTCATAAAATTTGTTAATAAAAATGAAATGTTTATGATTGCGTTACTTGCCGTACTTTAAATAGGTGATTGAGAAATGTTTATTTTCAAAATGTACAACTAAAAATATTTTCAAGTTTTTTTAATAAAAAAATCTTTTCAAAACTAAATAGACCTTCATTCATATTTTGACTTCAAATTTTTAGCAACAAATGGGATAAATTACCTTTAAACCCAATAATTTTATATTTAATTACATTTTGATCTCATCATTATTTGCATCGTGCCTTTAGGCACGGGCATACACTAGTATATATATATAGAGAGAGGGGGAAATAGAGAGAGACTCACTAAAATGAGAATTTCTCTAAGTTCAAGCTAGAGAAATCTAGAGAAAATTGAAATTTCTCTGACTTTGTTCACAAATTTATTTGGTTTTGTTCACAGAGAATTAAAATTTCTCTAGTTTTGTTCACAGGGAATTTATCTGACTTTGTTCACAAATTTCTCTATGTTTGTTCACAATTTTAAACCAGAGAAAATTGTTTTAACCAAATTAGAGAAATTTTAGCACAAATCATTAATCTCTCTCCTCCGATCACCAATCATATCTCTTCTTACTAGAGAAATTCTTTGGACTGTATAGACAAATAAGAGAGTGATGATTCAAATCCAATGCAATAAAAATCAATAATAAGATACAGATAGATGAAGAAATACCGAGTTATGATTGGTGATCAGTGTGAACACTGTCCATGGTGCCAGGCTCAAGATCCACGAGGACAACACGTAGAACAAACCTCACACAAGAAGCCTCATTGTAGTATACATTAATACGTTCTAGTTGCAAATCTAAAGTTCCAACATACCTTCCAGTTGGATCAATCCCATGTTCATCACAAACAATTTCCCAAAATCTTGATCCAATCTAGTTTTCCACACTGTCCACCTTGAATGTACAGGATTTCTCTCATTTTTTTTTTGAGATTCAAAGATCGATCGATCGATCGAGAAATGAATGACTCGATCGACTAAGAGTGGATGAGACATTTTGAAGGTGAGATTGTTGAAGAATTCAAAGAAATTAGTAGGTTCAGAGAAAGATCTACAATCTTCATACTTGGATTTGGACATAGAGATGCTATCATTAGAGTGAGATTGATCATCAGTGGTGGTTATTGGAAAATCACTTAGAGAATGCCTCTACTTCCTCGGTTTCTTCTTGCTTATCACCATAGATGTCTATGTCATCATCCATATTTAGAATGTGTGTGTGTGTGTGTGAGAGAGAGAGAGAGAGAGAGAGAGAGAGAGAGAGAGTGTGGGTATTATATATGGGTGTGAGTGAGAGACCTTAAACTACAAAAAAAATTATCATGGACATCTCTCATTACTAAAATTGGAGATGGATGTTAGACTAATTTTTCCAAAAAAAGAATATTTGAGATTCTTAAAATATGTATTTTTTTAATTTCACCCACAAATGACGTTGTATATTAGAGATTTGTTATATAGAGCTCAAATTGGCATATTATGATGTATGAATTTTAGAATCTAAGTTTTCATTTGGCATTGACTTTTTTAATTGACTTTTTTGTGTTGAGACTTTTTTAGCCTAGCTTTTTTAGCCTCGTTTGGTTTGGTTTTTTTGATTTTTGTGAGAGGAAAAATATAACGATTATGGTTTGGATGTGACATTTTATTTATTGACTTATATAATTAATTTTGTCTACTTTTTTAACCAAAAATTTTTAGGCAAACGACTCCTAAATTATTAGTCTAGGGCGTGTCTTACATAAAAATGCAAAAAATTAGACTTCTTGGTCAAGCATATTATCTTTAATTGCCCCATTAATTTGATGTTTTTTATTTTAGACTTGTTTTAAAAATTAGGTTCAAAGTTGAAATTTTAATTTTTTTTAAAAAAATATATATAAAAAAAAATAATATAACCAAAAAGATATTAAATATTAAAAAATAACTTTTAATCAAGTTTTTAAAATAGGTCTTGTTTGTTAATTATACATTTTAGTTAAAAAAATTAAAAAATCATTATAAATTATTACATCACTTTCTTTTATTTTTTTTATATATCTTTTTATAAAAAATAAAAAATTATTAAAATAACCTAGGTTAATCTTCATATAAGTGCAATTTTTTTAATGTGAGCAAATAAAGCCTCCGACATGTCCTAATTGCACTCGTATATACACATCTCTTTCTTGGATGGACACCTCGACAGTAAACAAAATCAACAACCCCCAGTCCGCCATCATCCCTTCGCCCCACTTAAAATATCTCTCACAATCTCACCCAATCATCCTCCAATCACCCATATTTCAATGACATCAAGCGGTGCAAACCACCAAGACCTAGTAGTGGTCCTCAGCACCAGGCAATCTTTGCCCATTCCATTCTTCTCTCAAATCTCAGCGCCCTCCCTTTTCTCGTGTAGACTGCGCACACAGCCTAAAACCCCTCCTCGTCTCTCTCTCTCTTCAGGCATTAGTTTCGCTCTCTCGCTCTCTCGTTGCGCCATTTTGGGGGATTGATTGTTCTTCGTTCGTTACTCAGATCGTTGGTGCTGAGTCTCGCACAAACTGTAAGTCTGTAAGTGCTCATCAACTCTTGATCGGTCTCAACTTTTTGAATTTCGTATAGTTTTTCAGAATCATTTCGTTACTGATAATATGTAGAATTACACTCAGCTTCTGTAAATGTTTCTTGCGACTCCAGCTTTTTATGTTTTCAATTTCTCTCATCTGGTCATTAATTCATTTATATGATTCATTTGATATATATACGTGCTTGTTTGTATGTGTTGTGCAGAAATAGGTGTTGGTGTATATAATACCAGTGCCTTCAATTGCATAAGTTGTGATTCATAAATTGATTGTTGTGAATTTCTTCTTGTGGATTTTTATTTTATTTTTTTTAACTTTTCTTGACTATGCACAATAAGCGTATTTGGTTCTTTATGCTTTTCTTTTCTTTTTTTTTTTGATTTTCTTGCTTTAATTAATTAAATTTCGTAAGCACTTTCCTATTTCTTCTCTCTCTCTCTAAGGGCATACTTACCAAGTGCACGAAACTCCCCACTTAAGCGGGGTATGGGGAAGGGTTGATATATGCAGCCCTACCCTGCAACCGGAGAGGTTGTTTCCGGGACTCGAACCCGTGACCACCAGGTCACCAAGGGGTAGCTTTACCCCCTCTTAATTTTTTTATTTTTATTTTTTCTGTTTTAGCTGACACCTATTAGTAGTTTTAAAATCCAGATAAATTGGTTTGATATGTGCAATTTAATTTTCTTTTTCATTTTTCTCCAAACTGATATTCACATGATTATATTGTTTTTAAGTTTTAGGCCTTGTTTGGGATGATAGGCTTTTATCAAAAAAGTAAAATATATATATATATATATAGTTGTCACATCACTCTCTCTATCTAGTTTTCCGCACATCTTGTCATAAAAAGCTAAAAAACCAACTAATAAATTAGCAACAAGGCCTTAGTGTAGATTGCACTTGTGCAGTGTGGGAAACCTATGTACACTGCATATAAAATTTCCTCTTAATTAGTTTTCTCATTTTGTGATTCTGATTATATGTTTGTTTTTGTATTTGTTCTTGAATGTCCTAATACTGAATGCGAAATGTAGTACACTAGTAGATTGTTATAATGTTTACAGGAATGTAGTACTTATGTAGTATTCAGGTTTTATTTGGCTGTTATTCTTTTTGGTCTTTTCTTTGGTCATGGATTAATCTTCTTATGGTTCTGCTGACTAGCTTAAGTAAGTCGATGCTTGCAAATTGTGACTCTGATTCTCTTTGTGAAGAGAGGAAAAATTAATCATGGCTTCAAGATCAATTCTACGGAGAAGGAAGTTTGTCTCTGATTACCTTAATGTCTCTGCACGCTCAATTCGAAGTTTTCAAAGTCTTGGTCATGGACAATCCAATCAGTATGTGGATTCTCGTGGTTTGAGCTCTGGTGCAAATCATCCTTCTGGAGATATTTTTTGCATAAAGGATGGGGATGCAGGTTCAGCTGTGAATGAGGATTTACTAAAATTTTCGGCATTGGGAATCTTTAAGCATAGATGCTATGGAGTTACGGCATCCGGTCATGTGAATGGAAGATCACAATTTATTCTCCCCATGGGGATGAGGTTGATGCCGCAATCTATACATTATGCTTCGACAGCCACGGCAGGTAAGCCTGACTTGGGTAGCGATGATGAAGATAAGGAGGAACTAGTTGCTGAAAAGAGAAAAGAAGCATCTCCGGAGGAATGTGATCAAGCTGTTGAAGGTCTGAGTACTGCAAAGGCCAAAGCTAAAGCCAAACGATTGCAAGAATCTGAAAAGGTTGCTAAGTCTGCTTTACAAAGAGTATGGGCCACACTCCTGGGGATTGGTCCAGCTTTGAGAGCTGTTGCTTCGATGAGCAGGTTAACAATTTTGCATTTGTTGATTTATTTGTTTATTACCAAGTCAACATGTTTCAAATTTAATACTTAGTTGATCATTTTCTTTCTTTAGGGAAGATTGGGCAAAGAAGCTAAGTCATTGGAAAAATGAATTTATATCAACACTGCAACATTATTGGTTGGGTTGTAAGCTACTGTGGGTTGACGTGAGGATCAGTTCAAGGTTGCTGCTTAAACTTGCTGGTGGGAAGAGTCTCACCAGGAGGGAGAGGCAACAGCTAACCCGAACCACAGCTGATATTTTTAGACTAGTTCCATTTGCTGTTTTTATCATTGTCCCATTCATGGAATTCTTGCTCCCAGTTTTCTTGGCGGTATTTCCCAACATGTTACCATCAACATTTCAAGATAAAATGAAAGAACAGGTACTGATTCTTCTTGGGCTTGAAATCTATTCCTTGTTTCATGCTAAATGAATTGCAATTTGCATGCTGTAGACTTCATCCTTTTTTTATTTTTCCCCTTGATAAGTGCTGAAGTTTCCATCTTTGTTCTCTTTCTATTATGTTTACATTGTTTATTGTTTGGATGTGTCTTATCGTGAGTTATTTGTTAGAATCCTAAAATTACCCCACATCAATGAAGTGTGAGCTTGACCATGTGAATGTAAGCTCTTGAGCACTTTTTCCTTGCAAGCCGGTTTTTAAGGGTTCATTTGGTATCAAAGATAGCCACCACATCGAGTATGTAATCAGACACAACCCATGCGAGTATTGGATGGGGTGTGACTTTGTGGTTCGAGTTGTAGAATGAGTGACTTATAGGTTGGATTAAGATACCTTAGAATTATGTATGGACATAGTACTGAGGGTGTTGCATATGAATAGGTGAGTGAAGTCGCCAAAAAGGAAAGTGCTACCATCAGGTCTGTTGATAGAGTGGATCGTTGTGGACGTTGGTTGTGGAGCATGGTGGTGTGTTACAATCCTACAATTGTACCACATCGATGAAGTGTGAGCTTTACCAAGTGACTATAAGCACTTGAACCCCCTTTCCCTGCTAGCCAATTTTGAAGGGTTAGTTTGTACCACTATTGTAGAGCTTATTCTAGGTTATCTATGGTACATTTCCTTGTCAGATGCATGACATTCTATCAAGTTCTTTTTTCTTGGAGTCTTATATAGGGCTATTTACACTCATCCTGGAAGCTTGCACTTTTGGAACTCATCCTATTATAGACTGTGCCTCAACAATTTGGAGCAAAAACCTTCATTATTGGACTTCTCCCCTTGACCCTCGGACCATTATTATGTCTAGTTTTGCTTAAGATCTTTAAACATGTTAAAGATTTTTTTGTGCTCCAGTGTGCGCAGTGCACCCATGTTTTGATGTGGGCTGGCGGCCCTATGTCCATGCACTGATTTATCTCACTTCAAAAGAAATGATATAATAACACTTACTTTCTTCTTGGTGAGTCAAAGTGGGGTTCCATTCTCCCTTGCCTTACGACCTAGGCATTCTGTTTCTAGATTTCTAGAATATTGTAAAGGGCTCCAATATTTGTCTTTCAGCTTTTCATTCTCGCTCAAGCCACTCAACTATCTCTAGTTCTTTCATAGAAGACCTTGATTTGAAAAGAAAAATCACTGCATTTTGTGTTCCATTCTTACTTTGCAAAAATGCATTTGCAAAGGTACCTTAGCAAACTTGGAAGCAGATAAACTATAAAGAATAGAAGAGTAATTGATTGCTCTTGAGGACCTGTGAAAAAGTTGTCTACTCGATCAAATATTTACTAAATTGATGACTTCAAATTTACAACACACAGACACACATATATTCTCTTTAGTTTTTTATTTGGTTGGAAATTAGTTTGTTCTTACATTGTCTTTCTTATTCTAGTCATTAATACCCCAAAAATAGAGGGACTTTTAAATCTTCTAGGATATATAAGCATTGGAAAATTCAATAAGATGGGTTTTAGTCAATTTTGAATTATAATGAAGAGATAGGTTGAGCCATCTGACCTGGTTTGAACAATAAGAATCTCACCTTTTGATTTGGGCATTTGTGAAATCTCTAAATGGGCGGTGCACGGCATCTTATTAGTCACCACACAAAGAAGCAGGTGGTTTTATTCTTCTTCAATTCATTTATACGTGCTTGGAGGTTTTCATTTGTGGCTCAGTTCTAGTTATGCTGGAAGTTTATTAGTAAGAAATATTAAATGTATAAGCTGCTAGCAGTTATTAGCTTTCAGGTTAAACTTTTCACAATCTAGACGAGGACCTGAGTCTTTGAAGTTCGCAATGCTGGATAATTCTGAAGTCGAAATTTTTTTTTACATTCTCCTTAGTTTTTACCAAACTCACAACCTTTCTTATAAGGAGATAGATTGGAAATTGCCAACTTTTATGGCATACACCTCTACATGTATCTCCTAAGCTATATCTGTGTCAATATGCTCATCAAAATTTGGCACACAATCAATGATATGCCTTATCGTTCAAGTTTATACTTCTAGAAGTGTAATTCGACTTTTGTGACCATTACAAAAAATACAAAGATTCAGTGCATGTTCGTATTTGTTTTGTGTTTATTGAATTTTTTAAAGATTTATTCACAAATATTTTACTTATTGAGTGTATCTAGATTAAGTAGATCTAAAAAGTAAAACAAAAATGATTAAATTTTTTAAAAAGTTCAATAAAAACAAAAAAATACGGATTGAAAACTCAAAAAACTATTTTTGAAAACTCAAAACCAAACAAAGACCAAGTGTCTAATTTGGATACTAATTTGATTACATGGGTTTGACACAAAACACAAACCCTTAGCCTTGTCATATTTGGTGGATGCGAATACACTAGGGAGAATAGAAGAGTCCATGTAACACTGATTTATACCTGAATGTTAAAAATATTGATAGGGAGAGAAAGAGAATAAATTGTATTATTGATGGATATCTTGATGTATTACAAGATTGATAAATTACAATTCCTATACAATCTATATATAGAAGAAAATGTGGTAGTAGGTGTAGTGGAGGTGATAGTGGGTTAGGTGAAGTGGAGTGTTGTCTTTCAGCTTTTCATTCTCGCTCAAGCCACTCAACTATCTCTAGTTCTTTCATAGAAGACCTTGATTTGAAAAGAAAAATCACTGCATTGTGTGTTCCATTCTTACTTTGCAAAAATGCATTTCCAAAGGTACCTTAGCAAACTTGGAAGCAGATAAACTATAAAGAATAGAAGAGTAATTGATTGCTCTTGAGGACCTGTGAAAAAGTTGTCTACTCGATCAAATATTTACTAAATTGATGACTTCAAATTTACAACACACAGACACACATATATTCTCTTTAGTTTTTTATTTGGTTGGAAATTAGTTTGTTCTTACATTGTCTTTCTTATTCTAGTCATTAATACCCCAAAAATAGAGGGACTTTTAAATCTTCTAGGATATATAAGCATTGGAAAATTCAATAAGATGGGTTTTAGTCAATTTTGAATTATAATGAAGAGATAGGTTGAGCCATCTGACCTGGTTTGAACAATAAGAATCTCACCTTTTGATTTGGGCATTTGTGAAATCTCTAAATGGGCGGTGCACGGCATCTTATTAGTCACCACACAAAGAAGCAGGTGGTTTTATTCTTCTTCAATTCATTTATACGTGCTTGGAGGTTTTCATTTGTGGCTCAGTTCTAGTTATGCTGGAAGTTTATTAGTAAGAAATATTAAATGTATAAGCTGCTAGCAGTTATTAGCTTTCAGGTTAAACTTTTCACAATCTAGACGAGGACCTGAGTCTTTGAAGTTTGCAATGCTGGATAATTCTGAAGTCAAAAATTTTATTTACATTCTCCTTAGTCTTTACCAAACTCACAACCTTTCTTAAAAGGAGATAGATTGGAAATTGCCAACTTTTATGGCATACACCTCTACATGTATATCCTAAGCTATATCTGTGTCAATATGTTCATCAAAATTTGGCACACAATCAATGATATGCCTTATCGTTCAAGTTTATACTTCTAGAAGTGTAATTCGACTTTTGTGACCGTTACAAAAAATACAAAAATTCAGTGCATGTTCGTATTTGTTTTGTATTTATTGAATTTTTTTAAGATTTATTCACAAATATTTTACTTATTGAGTGTATCTAGGTTAAGTGGATCTAAAAAGTAAAACAAAAATGATTAAAATATTTAAAAAGTTCAATAAAAACAAAAAAAAAAAAAAAACGGATTGAAAACTCAAAAAACTATTTTTGAAAACTCAAAACCAAACAAAAACCAAGTGTCTAATTTGGATACTAATTTGATTACATGGGTTTGACACAAAACACAAATCCTTAGCCTTGTCATATTTGGTGGATGCGAATACACTAGGGAGAATAGAAGAGTCCATGTAACACTGATTTATACCTGAATGTTATGGATATTATACTTCCATGACAAGGTGACACCACACATTTATGGTATTGCTATGCAAAATTGTTTCCCTTTTTCATTTTAGTGCATAAATTCCTCCCTTGTACGGTGTGTACTAGATGTTGGTGACACCATACCTCTTTATATATGAAGTTATATCTTTTACTTATATTCCTTCTCCATATTTTGTCACTAATTTAAGTGGAATGTACATTTGTCCATTTGCACGGGCACTCATAGGTGCTCTTATTTTCATGTACATTTGCATGCATACGAACAGCTACAATGCATGCCATGGGTTTTATTGTTGCCCCTGTTTCAATCTGGATATTTGATTCACATCAAATGCTTAACTTGTAGGAAGCATTGAAAAGGAGGCTAAATGCAAGAATAGAATATGCAAAATTTCTCCAGGGGACTGTTAAAGAAATGGCGAAGGAAGTCCAAAGCTCACGGAGTGGAGAAACTAAGAAAACAGCTGAAGATCTCGATGAATTTTTGACCAAGGTCAGTTACAATTCTAACAGTCAGCGCCTTGTATATATTGTTTTCTCTCTTGCTGTTAATCACGATATGTATGACCTGGTATGTTGTGTAGGTTAGAAGAGGTGCTGGTGTCTCTAATGAGGAAATTTTGAGCTTTGCTAAGTTGTTCAACGATGAACTCACACTGGATAATATTAGCAGGTTGAGCTTTATTATCATTGATGGTGCATTATGCTGTATCCTAGCTGTTTAATCTGAAATTTGTGTTGGTATTGTTATTTGCTTACTGACTGGGACTATATAACAACTCTTTCTCCTTGTTTTGGACTCTTTTGTACTCAGGCCTCGGTTAGTGAACATGTGCAAGTATATGGGAATTAATCCTTATGGAACAGATGCATATTTGCGGTTTATGCTTCGAAAAAGATTGCAATGGTGAGATACATCTTCCTATTTTATGTAGGTTTACTATCATACCACCGTGAGTATGGGTGGCCTTTTTAATTTTATGGTGTAAAAGATCTGGGTGAGTTTGAACCCAGCTAAGATTGGGCTGTCTGGTCTATCTTCTTAAATCTCACAGCTTGTTTTGAGGTTGACTTGAACTTTTTGACCTACTTGTGCTCTAGTTTGAATTTATGACTTAGATGATTGATTTTTCCTCAACTTGGAGGAAAGATATTGTGGATTTATTCTGATAAATTTTAGTGTCCTTGGAATAGTTTAAGCCCCATGAAATGAGACTTCTGGAATTCACAAAAGTTGTGCCAGAAAGTGGTGTGGGGGTGTAGAGTTTTGAGCCAATTACCCTCTCACTGCATGAAAAATATATTCACCTTTGATCTGTGTCTCTGGTTGTGTAATAAAAAGCTGAAACTGTTTGCCAAATATGTGCAATCACATGCTTCATGGCCCGCGACCAGTGGGCTATTTTATGAAATATTGAGGGGCCCAATTATTTTCTTGGAACCTTGTCTTGGTTATCACGTGTCATTCGGGCCCTCCACGAAATCTGATCCTTTTTCCATGATGTAGAAAAATGAGCTAAAAAAAGGATTAAATACAGACACAGATTCACAGTAATATGCATGTTAATATGCATAGGCTCATCTTTGTGCATAAGTTTCTTTTTCTTATTTTATTGAGGACTATCATAGATTAAGTTTCGAAAGTATTCCTTGTTAAGAATATTTTGAAGAATTGCCTGCTTACATAAAGGTGGTTTGACCTGAGGGAAAATACATTTTCAAATGGTAGGTATCCTTGAATTATTGTTGTTATTATTGTTTGTTTTGCAAGGATAAAGAACGATGATAAAATGATACAAGCGGAGGGTTTGGAGTCTCTTTCAGAAGCTGAACTTCGTGAAGATTGTAGAGAGCGAGGCATGCTTGGTTTACTTTCAGTTGAGGAAATGCGCCAACAGGTTTTTTTCTTTTTCTTTCCTTTTTTCCCCTCTTTCTCCCACTCTTGGATCTACTTGTGTGTTGCTCTTTTTCGTCTTTGACAATTAGAATTAAAACAGAAGTATAAAGCTTGAAAACTCCTTGAATTATGTCTAGTGTATAGATTATTAAATGCAGACTGAGGATCTCATTCCAAGGTCCATGGTTTCATATAGACATTATGGGTGTGTTTGGTTTGTTTTCGAGAGAGTGAATTTCAAAAAAAAAAAAATTGGGGAGAAAGTTTAGAATTTTTTTTAGTTTGTTTGATTGTATATTTTGAAAGTAATTTTGGAGTTTGAAAGTTTGGGATGATTTGATATTTTGTTGTAATTGAGTAAATGTGTATGAGAAAAAAAGTGATTGAAAAGGAGAGAGGAGAGAGAAAAAGTGATGATTGATGTGTAAGAAAGAGAGTGATTTTGGAAATTTTTTGAGAAAAACCATAAACCAAACAAAATTTTGGAAATTTTTTTCAAAAACAACTCACCCAAAAACAAACCAAACAAGCCCTATATTTTTGGATAGCATTTTTTTTGTGTTTGTAGAAATTCCAAATTACATTAAATGGTCTCATTAATTCCTATTGTTGTACAAGGGGATTGTGAGGTAAAATTGAACCAGCCCATCCTATCATGGGTATGCTAACTCCCCTGAAGAAGTTTCTCTTTTGGCTTGGTTTGTAAACGTTTCACATAAGTTAAATAGAAATTTCAAGATTAACGTGTGGACTGGTCGTTCCTGGCTTGAATTTTATCCCATTGTGTTTTTCTGAACAGTCATGGTTGTGATTACATAAATCTCATGTTTTCGGCAAAAGAAAACCAGATGGTTTCTGCAGCCTGCATGCTTCATTTTGTTGACATACAATATAGCTGGGCCATATGTGTTCATCCAGTTTGTATGCTTCTTTAACTGGCTTTGCCAACGGTTTTGTTCACCGGTTCACTGGTTTGACTATGTTGGCTGGGCTGGTTCTTTTTACATTGGCACATGAGCTACCTTTTTTGGTATAAGTAGAATTTTGTGCTTTCATTTTATGCTTCTTCACAAACAAATTTTAGCTGCACATATTTATGAAAAAATCCTTGACTGAAGCCTAAGAGCATGACATGCTGTTGTAATTTAATATTGAGATAAAATTCAAGAAGATAGCATTCTAATTGACACATTGATTAAAGCAGTCTACCCAATGTCTCTCCATAAAAGCAATTTCGTAAATTCATCTTGAGGAGGGCTTTTAAGAAGCTCAAGAACATCTATATTAAACGGAATTGGATGTGTGTTGGGTGTTGGTATGCATCTAATTATAGGATATATATAAATTCCCAAATCCAAGGACATCAGGATATGGCTACACATTCCTATCTTTTTTTGTAATATTATAAAGGTATTTTTGTGTGATGGAGATTATTTGGCATGTGCAGCTGCTTGACATCAGCTACACATGAATCTCTCTCTCTCTCTCTCTCTCTCTCAATTTTACAGCCCAGATACATTTACAGTGTTTTTGATGAATTAACATATTTGGTTCAGAAGTTTAATGTAAGTGTATAATCTCTTTCTTTAGCTTCGTGATTGGTTGGATTTATCTCTCAATCACTCAGTACCATCTTCACTTTTGATCCTCTCCAGGTATTTTAAAGGCCATTTCAGTTCTAATTTTTGTAATCAAAATTGGAAGCCACACCAGTTTGTTTTAATCTATAACTTGAACTGCATTTGACTTTTTCCTGTTTTGATACTGTACACAGAGCCTTCACTGTTTCTGGAAAGTTAAAGCCGGAGGAAATTGTTGGGGCTACATTGTCTTCACTTCCAGATGAGGTTGTCGATACTGTTGGTGTCGTAGCCTTGCCATCTGAAGATTCTGTTTCAAAAAGGAGAAGGAAATTGGAGTTCCTTGAAATGCAAGAAGAACTCATCAAGGTTAAAAATGTTATCCAAAAAACACAAGGAGATTTGGTGAACATTGTGTGTTGCTAAGGTTGTTAGGTCACCAAACTTCTAATCTCTATTTTTTCTTTTTCTAGATTCATTTTAGTCGCAATTTATAGAAAAATTGTTGTAGTAAGAATTATTCATTCTGTTTCAAAAAGTATTTGACACACCCACATTCACGACCTTCATTTGTCGTCGCATGGGTCATTGCAAAAAGTCTTTTATGACTGTATTTTTATTATTTGTGACGACTTATAGCGATCGAAAAAAGTACTTTTTTTAATAGTGTGGGATTGGCCCCGAATTAATCGGTTTAATAAATTGAATAACGAGTTATCAAAAATAAATATTATTAATTGGAAAAATATTAGCATGCTTGAGGAGCAAAGTTGTCCAGTTCAATAATTTAATCTACTTATTAACTAGGGAAGTATTTAAATGTTTTTTTTGGCGGCTATGACTGTCAATTTTGAAATTAACCCATGTTATTGATCCAAACGTAAATCCAATATTGCACACTTAATAAGTGTGATATATGATTCCTATTGTTGTACAAGGGGATTGTGAGGTAAAATTGAACCATCCCATCCTATCATGGGTATGCTAACTCCCCTGAAGAAGTTTCTCTTTTGGCTTGGTTTGTAAACGTTTCACATAATTTAAATAGAAATTTCAAGATTAACATGTGGACTGGTCATTCCTGGCTTGAATTTTATCCCATTGGTGTTTTTCTGAACAGTCATGGTTGTGATTACATAAATCTCATGTTTTCAGCAAAAGAAAACCAGATGGTTTCTGCAGCTCGCATGCTTCATTTTGTTGACATACAATATAGCTGGACCATATGCATTCATCCAGTTTGTATGCTTCTTTAACTGGCTTTGCCAACTGTTTTGTTCACCAGTTCACTGGTTTGACTATGTTGGCTGGGCTGGTTCTTTTTACATTGGCACATGAGCTACCTTTTTTGGTATAAGTAGAATTTTGTGCTTTCGTTTTATGCTTCTTCACAAACAAATTTTAGCTGCACATATTTATGAAAAAATCCTTGACTGAAGCCTAAGAGCATGACATGCTGTTGTAATTTAATATTGAGATAAAATTCAAGAAGATAGCATTCTAATTGACACATTGATTAAAGCAGTCTACCCAATGTCTCTCCATAAAAGCAATTTCGTAAATTCATCTTGAGGAGGGCTTTTAAGATGCTCAAGAACATCTATATTAAATGGAATTGGATGTGTGTTGGGTGTTGGTATGCATCTAATTATAGGATATATATAAATTCCCAAATCCAAGGACATCAGGATATGGCTACACATTCCTATCTTTTTTTGTAATATTATAAAGGTATTTTTGTGTGATGGAGATTATTTGGCATGTGCAGCTGCTTGACATCAGCTACACATGAGTCTCTCTCTCTCTCTCAATTTTACAGCCCAGCTACATTTACAGTGTTTTTGATGAATTAACATATTTGGTTCAGAAGTTTAATGTAAGTGTATAATTTCTTTCTTTAGCTTCGTGATTGGTTGGATTTATCTCTCAATCACTCAGTACCATCATCACTTTTGATCCTCTCCAGGTATTTTAAAGGCCATTTCAGTTCTAATTTTTGTAATCAAAATTGGAAGCCACACCAGTTTGTTTTAATCTATGACTTGGACTGCATTTAACTTTTTTCCTGTTTTGATACTGTACACAGAGCCTTCACTGTTTCTGGAAAGTTAAAGCCGGAAGAAATCGTTGGGGCTACATTGTCTTCACTTCCAGATGAGGTTGTCGATACTGTTGGTGTCGTAGCCTTACCATCTGAAGATTCTGTTTCAGAAAGGAGGAGGAAATTGGAGTTCCTTGAAATGCAAGAAGAACTCATCAAGGTTAATAATCTTATGGTTTATTTTATTGCCAATTAACACCCTCTTTGACTTTTGACCAATCATTCTTTTAGTGACAATATGCCAGGATAATTCTACTTTCATATTTTACTGCTTTTGCCTTATATTGACAGCTAGTCCTGATGCCTTCACTTTTGTTCCTATCATGGGAACTTGAATCTTGAAGCAGAAAATGGAAAAATGTTTAGTGCTTTCAATACTGTGGATAGAATGGGACTTTGTTAGGAAATAAGGTTGACACCCAAAGCTCAAGGTGCATTGTATTATTGTGTTTGAAGTAAGGAACAAAGTTTCCTTTTGTTTTTAATGGGATGTTTGAAATGTTTTCGTTTCCTAAGAGACCAAAACAAACACTAGTGGAATAACAAAATTCTAGCGTTATCCATTGAAAGATAGTAGAACATTGCGCATTGCATCAAAACCTAATGCAACATTGTGAAACTATAAGTTGCGTGGACACAAATTTGGAATCTCTCAAAATATTTTTTTTCTTTTTATATTTTTGATGGGGAAAAAAAAAAGAAGATAAAGGCATTATTTTCTATGTTAATAAGAATTACTACTAGTAGTATTCCTCGTATCAAACTCATCCCCTCACTCGTCTTTATGCCATCCACCTTGGGGACGGAGGTGATTCGATTGATGGATGAGGTCTTCTTGTGGTAGATTTGAAGTGAAGTCGTAATACAAGGCCCATTAGGTAATAGGGGGTTCTCCTTCCCTTGGAGAGAGTTTTGAGCCACTATGGCACCGTTTAAGGTGGCTTTCTTTGTTTGATGTGCATCCCATGACAAGATCCTCACCATTGGTAATTTGATTAAAAGGGAGGCAACAACAAGTGCATGTCAATTGGTGTTGCATGTGTAAATGAGATGGAGAAAGTGTGAGCCACCTTCTTATCCATTATGAGGTAGTGCGGGAGTTATGGTCCTTGACTTTTCTTTTTCTCTGGAGTGGACTTGACATCCCCTAGTAATGTGAGGGATTTTCTTTGCTCTTGGAGGGGTGTTAGTGTGGGGAGAAGGAGGAAGAAGGCTTGATATTTGACTCCTTTGGCAATTACGTGGTTAATTTGAGGAGAAAGGAATATAAAAACTTTTGTGGTGGGGTCTCTCACAAGAGCATCTATGAGTGTTTCCCATTCGTTGTACGTAGATGATGCGCTAATCTTTTGTGGGGCGGTGGCGGAACAATTAGGTTACTTGAGATGTGTTTTGTTGTGTTTCAAAACTATCTCTAGCCTTCGGGTGAATTTGAGGAAGTTTGAGCTGATTCCAGTGGGTAAGGTGGACGGATTGCCAGTGCTAGCGGCGGTGTTGGGCTCTAAGGTGTCCATTTTGCCAGTGACTTATTTGGGTTTGTCGTTGAGAGTGTCGTTTAAGGCTAAAGGGGCATGGAAAGGGGTTGTGGAGCGGATTCAATGACGATTAGCAGGTTAGAAGAGGCAATATCTTTTGAAAGGGGGAAGGTTGACTTTGATCAAGAGCGTGTTGTGCAGTATCCCGACATACTTTATGTTTGTGTGTATTATTCATATGTCTGTGGTGCAGCGGATTGAGAAGTTACAAAGGGATTTCCTGTGGGGCAGTGGGGGGGATGATTTTAATTATCACTTGGTGAATTGGGGGCGGATTTGTCAACCAAAAGTGGCAGGGGGGTTAGGGGTGAGGAGTTTGGTGACTTTTAACAGAGCGTTGTTGGGGAAATGGTTGTGGGTTTTGAAAAGGGATTTGGTTAGGGAGAAGGGAGTTTTGGGATAGGGTTGGTTTTCGAGTGGGTGATGAGGTGTGGGTGCGTTTCTAGAAGGATAGGTGGTTTGGTGTGGATTTGCTGGAGGATTTCCTTCGATCTTCAGCATTGTGAGAGATCAGGAGGCTATAGTGGCATGGCATCTTATTTCAGGGGTGGGGAGGGAGTGGTTTGGGACATTAAGTTATGGCAACAAGTTGAAGACTAGGAGGTTGATCAGATGGTGGAGTTGTGGGGTTACTTGTATGGGTTAGGTTTTACTGGGGTGGGAGAGGATGTTTTGGGGTGACATGTTGGGGTTAAGGGTTGTTTTTCGGCCTCGTCATTCCATTGGAGCATGGTGGGGGAGGTGAGACAGGATTTTCCTTAGAGTAGTGTTTGGGTGCCAGGAGTTCTATCGAAGATGGTTTTCTTTATGTGGACGATGGCTTTGAGTCGGAATCTCACGATTGATAACTTGATGCGGTGTGGTCACATTCTAGTAAATCGACATGGTCACATTCCGTGTGTGGGGCTTTGTTTTCTCTCTTTTTGGGATTGTTTGGGTTCAGCCGCTAAGGGTGATGGATATGCTGTGGAGTTGGCGCGGAGGGGCGTGTGTGGTATTTGGTCCCATTTTGTTTGATGTGGTTAGTATGCGTGGAATGTAATAGGCGCACGTTTCAAGAGATTCATCGCATAGTTAGTTGGCTTGAGAGTCGTTTACTAGCTGTTTTGTATAGTTGGTTAGAGATGAAAACTAATCAGGATATGTTTGGTTTTTTTGAGTTTTTGGATGAGGTTATAGGTTAGAGGGTGATTTTTGTCCCCTTTAGGGTTTTTGTATTCTTTGCATCATCTTGATGCTTTCTCAATAAAGTCCACATACTTGTCCAAAAAAAAAAAAAAGGGAATAGAAAAACTTTTATTGGTAAAGAAGAATCATTTTTGACTTTAAAGAGTTACTCTTTGTCTATTTCGTATAGTTGATTTTCGGGGTTGATTAACTCATCCTCAACTCAATCTTCGGATTTAGTAGGGACCTTTGAATAGGTTTCGGCTCTTAGCTTGCCTTATGCTATTATTGTTACTATCTTATTAAATTTTTAGATCTTATGTTCTTGGGATATGATGCACTTATAGAATCATGTACACTTGCATTTGATCATTTATACGAGAATACTAACAATTTCCAACATGTGTTTTTTTTTAAAAAAAATTGTATTTTACAGATACAAATCAGTGAATGAATCTTTAAATCTGTATATAACAATCTTTATGTTTTTTTATACCTTTAGATAAGTTTGAGTCTGTGTTCTAAAGATTTCATGTATTTCAATTTTTTGTGTATCTTTTGAAATGTTACCAAAACATTTCCGAACCAGGCTTGCCAAAACAATACACAAACTCTTTTTTTTTTTTTTTGGATTGGCAAAAGTCAGTTCACCAAAGCGAAATTTTTATCCTTGATCTAAAGGCTTGATTTTTGAAGGTTGAGCCTTATGGAAATCTTGAGTCTCTTCCTTAAAGTACTTATTGATTTACTTCAGAAAGCTCTAGGCCTTGTTAGTTTGACTTTGGGAGATAAGTTTTCAGAAAATATTTTGGGAAGAGATTTTAGAAATGTTTGTAGTTTGTTTGGTTGTATATTTTGAAAATAGTTTTGGAGTTTGGGATGATTTGATATTTTGTTGTAATTGAATAGATGTATGTGAGAGAAAAAGTGATTGATTGATGTGTAGAAAAGAGAGTGATTTTAGAAATTTTTTGAGAAAAATTACAAACCAAACAAAATTTCCAAAAATTTTCTCCAAAATCTTTTTCCCAAAGCCAAACCAAACAAGGCCTAGTCTTCAAGGTTGAGGAGCCTCAATGCCATCTCGAGTCTCACGTATGTACCTTACGAGATTTAGTTCTGTGGTTCTAAATTAATTAATTATAGGAGGAACAAGAGAAAGAAGAAGAGGAGCACGCTAAGAAGAAGGAATCTGCTGTTGGCGAAGAGGATGTGGCTTTGAAAGAAATGGTCATTCCGACAGCAAGAGAAGCACAAGATCAAGCTAGAGAAAGAACTCTGGAAAAACAAGAGCATCTTTGCGAACTCAGTCGAGCTTTGGCTGTTTTAGCTTCTGCATCTGTAAGGACTAAATGTTTTAACTATGTTGAGCTCCTTATGACTGTATATTTGTGAAACTTTGCTGGTTTGCGCTGCATATTGATTTCCTTTTGCTGCTTATCTATGCAGTCAGTCAGTAGAGAACGTGAAGAGTTCCTGAGGCTAGTAAACAAAGAGGTACATCTGAATCATTGACATAACTAATTACTCATGATGAACAGCTTTTATATTCAATCTATCTTCTTTATATTGACTCAAATATTGTTACGTGAGATTCTTTCAGATATCAACCCTGCTGACCCACCAAAAAAAAATGAGGAAAAGAGAAGAAAACCTGCATGCATAGTGATAAAAAATAACAATCTTAGTATGTGCAGAATTTTAGGTTTTTTTTTTTTAATGTTTCTTCTCGTATATATGCAGAATATGCATGTCCTACGTCAAATTAATGCTTTGATCTCTCACTTTTGGTTGCTTCTGTAGATCAAACTTACGAATGTCAGAAACATTCTTATGTGCACAATGTCAACTAACTGGACTTTTGTTTTATTGCAAAGTCGAATTTGTTATGATAGGTCTATGGGATATCAAATTGCTCCTGACAACCTGAATAGTTATCAGTTTATGTTCTTTTTGGCCCACTCATCTTTCTGTGATGCTTCTTGTATACTAGTGAAAGGGTATTTGTGGAAATGCAACATGAAAATATTAACAATTGCTTTACATTTTCATGTTCTTTTCTCTATTTTTTTCTTCTGTGCAATTCATATGGCATCCCTTTGACAGTGTACTCATGTTAGATAACTCTGATTTTGTCAGATAGAACTCTACAATAGCATGGTAGATAAAGAAGGTACAGACGAAGTAGAGGCCATGAAGGCATATAAAGCTGCACGGGAGGAAAGTGACCAGGCTTCGGACTTTGCCGTACATGATGATGAGGTTTCATCAGCACTCGTAGATAGGGTAAGTTTTTCCATTTGTCCCCCTTTCATGAAATGTGATGAATACTGGTGCATTTGACAATTAACCATTTTATCATTTTCCGTACTTCAGGTTGATGCTATGCTTCAAAAGCTCGAAAAGGAAATTGATGATGTAGATGCTAAAATTGGTGATCGGTGGCGGCTACTTGACAGGTTTGTGATTGGTTGAGGATTATACTTTTATTTTTCTTGTTCTTTCTAGTTCTACAAGTTTTTTCATTGTTGCAATAATATTTATATAGGGTTATCATGTAACTAATCTTAACATCCTAGTCAACAACTCAGAATTCTTGATGTTAGGCGACCTAGAAGGTGATATATACATATATCTATATGGTTAAATGAACCTTGATGAAATTATTTGGATTGGGTTGAACTAATCCTGATCTACTTTCCTGCATATTCGCGATTTGTCTTGACATTTCTTTTGTTTCTAGTAGCTGCCATATAGGTGTGGTTGGTTCCAGTAACTGTTTGATAATCATGTTATCTAGCCCAGCAATATTACATACTTGGCATTTTAAACAGAAATATTAATGAATGGTTTAGATTCATTCTATGCATAGACCGCACTATACACCAATTGAATTTCAAGCACTCTTTACCTTTTGTGTATTTTTCATATCTGGCCACACATGGTAAACATGGGGTATGTGTGCAGAGATTATGATGGCAAAGTAACTCCCGAGGAGGTGGCAGCTGCGGCTACATACTTGAAGGATACTTTAGGCAAGGATGGGATCCAAGAACTCATCAGCAACCTTTCCAAAGATCCAGGTCAGTGATTCAAATAAGTTTCCGTGATTCATTTTCTTAATGGTTTTAAAAATCTATATGCAATTTCCTTCTGCCTGAAACCATTGAAATAAATGCTTCTTTTGAAGACCAATTATTTAACCTAAATGCTTGGCAGCTTTTAAATATTTCATGTGTGAAAATTTTCTCTCTTTCATTTTTTCAAAGTCTTGATTTTAATGAACTTGATTGCTTTACAGAAGGGAAGATCCTTGTTGAAGACATTGTTCGATTGGGTAGTCGAGCAGAAGATGGCAGTACGGCTGAAGTCGAGGGGAGGTAGAGGATAACAGTATTCCCGTTTTGTCTGGCATTCAATATCTAGATGGCACTACCCAGGTGATAACTCTCCCTAGTGATATATAGAGAAGTGTAATTCTTTCTATCAGCCTAATGAAAACAATGTGTTTTCTAGTGCTGTAAAAAATAGTTGATAGGCCAAAACACATACTATGTAAACGCACCAGTGCCTAGTGTACAGAAGACATAAGAAACGATTTTCCAAACATTATATTCTATGCTTCATACCAAGATAATGCGGTTCATCTTATGTGCCAAAATTATTTGAAATCTGAATTTAAAATATATTACATTTTGTTAATTTTCACTATACATCTAAATGCCTTTCACCATAACATCAAGGTGAGCCAAGATGCTCATGTTAGATCTACAATAAGCTGTGAACAACTTATCACTAATGTATTTTTCTGGTTTCCTAATATTTATGATAAAGCGAAACAGCTCTGCTCTGCTGCTTTCATCTTTTCCCCTGAATTCTCACCAAGAATACGTATTGAAAAATGATATATAAATCTATTTTGTAGATCCATTTTCTAGTCAACAAGATGACTGGTTGATGATTAGAGAATAAATAAGAGAGAGTTGACTTAAAAATTTTCATAGCGTCACATCATTGGGTCTAGAAAGTGGGTCTAATTTTTTGGTCTGAATAGCAATACTCATGTATTTTATGCAGTAAATTAGTGGTATAGTTACAAGGGTTATGGAATGGATAGCCATCAACATTCTTTATCGTAGCTAGAGAAGGAAGGGGACGGAGATTTTAAGGCAATTCACGTTAAATTTGCGAATTAACAAATCAAAGACTGGTAATCCATTGAAAATAGGTAAATGTATGCACGCTCTGTAGGTGCTCTCATTCTGATTAAATTTTTACTAGACATTTTCACTCTTGCACTGTGACTCGGTTGATGCATATAATAGATTTTTCAACCTAGAATTGATACTTGAAAAATAGTAGTCTTGACAAATTGACTTGATTTCATGGCAAATAACATTACAATTCAACATCTCTTCAATTGTCATTACACATCTACATTATGCATTCAGAATTTCTGAAACAAATTCCTCAATGTTGGTATCGGAGCTTCCACCTTCATCAACTGCTTCTTTAGCCAGTTCCTTCCACCTGACAGCATTTTTTCTAAGCTCACTCCCTTTTTCTCCCTCCATAACTTCTCTTATCCTCGTCTCTATCTCTTCCTTGCCAATAATACCCTTGTCATTGACCTTAACCCTAACCCCTGTACGCCACAGATCGACAACAAACTTAGTATTAGTCATTTGATCTGACCATTGTGGCATTGCCACCATTGGAACCCCCAAACTAAGAGCCTCAAGTGTCGAGTTCCATCCACAGTGAGTCATGAAACACCCCACAGCTTGGTGAGCCAAAACTTGAAGCTGAGAACACCAATTCACAATTAGACCTTTCTTCTCTGATGAGGTTTCATCGATGAAGTTGCTGGGAAGCTTGCCCTGTTCAGAAGATCTAACTACCCACAAGAAGTAGTAGTTGCTGTTTTTCAGGCCCCATGCTATTTCCTCCATTTGTGCTTCACTTAAGCTAGCTAAGCTCCCGAACGAGGCATAAACAACTGAGGCTTTTGGTTTTGTGTCTAGCCATTTCATACAAGCCTCGACGCTGGGCTTGAAGAGACTGAGGCCATAATCTTTGTCATCTTCCAACCTCTTGTCTAAAAACTTGGATGGAATGGTTGGTCCTATTGTCTTGATTGACGACCGTTGACTTGCCATCCACTTCACTATCTAGTAGATTGGAAAAATATTACAATAAATAAATAAATACCAATGTCATAGAATAAAAGAAAATTAACAAAAAAGCATCTGTAGAAGTCTCTGCCCAACGTTCAAGGTTTTCTTGTTTACAGTAGGGTTTGAGAGCTGTACTAGGTAGAAAACTATATTTCTATTTTATATATTTATTTATTTATTTTGTGAAGAGATTAATTCTCATGGCGTAGAACCCGCACCACAAGGTTGGGGACACAAGGCACTTGCTGTCACACCAAATCATTACATCTAAATCTATTATGTTGTGTTTGGTTGAAGGATTTGAGGAAGGATTTGAAAAGAGAAATGGAAAAGTTTTAAAAAATACAAAACCAAACTATTTTCGCACAGAATTTACACAGCAATCAAATTCGAAAATTTGCTCAATTAAATTATGCACTGGCTATTTAAAATAATAAAAAAAAATTTGGGTCATTATAGTTTTTTTGGTATAAGGGTCAAATTATGAGTTTTTTTTAATATAATTTTTCAAAATTTTACTAAAATGGTGTGGTAATAGTTTTTTCAAAAGAGTAACGCTCCGTTTGTTTGGGAAAAATATATTTTATAAAAGATATTTTATGTATTTTCTGGCATTCGGTAGAATGGAAAACGAAAGACAACGGAAAATATTTTTTATGGTCAACAGAAAACCAGCCTATATGTGCAGAAAATGTTTTCCATTTTTAAAATGAGAAAAATATTTTTGGGACACTAAGATTATTAATATCACCACATTATTCGCATCACTATCATCTCCATCACCATGCCACCATCACCATAACCACTGGCCCACTTGCATCATAATTGCTGTCACCCTGCCACCACACCTCCTCCACCTTAGTCCCACCACTCATCATCAAACGTAGAAAAATATCTTTTTAAAAAAAAGAAAAATGGGTAGAAAATATTTTTTAATTAGACAAGAACTTGTTGGCCCCCAAAAAATAAATAAATAAATAAAACAATTTCAAGTGATATTTGGAGAATCAGCAATAATTTAGATCACTAATTTTAATACTCTAATAAAGTACTAATGACATGGTAATAAATAAAAAAAATAAAATAAAAACAAATCAAGATCAAAACATCATATTACTAAGTGAAACCCACTGCCAACTCATTAGAGAGCTCCAAAGCATTTTTCCTTGGAGAATATCTAATATGCTAGGGCAATAGGTAAAGTACCTGTTCTTCCAACTTATCAAAGGTGTTAAACAAGATCCAATCAGCCTTCCTAAAATTGGAGAACTGATTCACAAGCAGCCCCAACATAGCTGGATACGACCCCATATCACTTACAAAAGAAGGCATATCATCAAACCCAATCCCCGGCAATGCAGGCAACGAAACAACACCACTTTGATCCAAATCCAAAGGAACCTTAAACTCTCCTTCATGCAGATGATAATAAATCGCGCACACACCACACGGCTGCGTAAAAAAACAGGCCCCGCGAAGCCCGAACTTGTGAGCTATGTCCAGAGCCCATGGAATAACCGAGTCATAGACGAGCACTTTAGTTCCTGAAGAGGTGGTGAGTTGGGTTTGGATGAGTTGGGCTAGGGTTTGCGAGACGGCGGTTTTGAAGCGGAGGATCTCGGCCTCGTAGGTTTCGGAGTGGTCTTTTTTGTCTGTGCCGTCGGAAATGGAGACTGTTTTGATGGGGGTGGAGGTGGAGGTGGAGGTGGAGGTGGGGTGGAGGTTGAGTTGGAGGGTGGTGGAGATGGAGGTGGTGGTGATTAGTGTGATGTTGAGGCCTTTTGAGGATAAGCGTTTGGAGAATTGGAGCATTGGGTTTATGTGACCTTGTACTGGGTATGGAAGGACTAGGATTTGTGTTTCACTACTACTACCCATTTTCTCTCTCTCTCTCTCTGTTTCTCTCTCTCTCTGTGTCTCTTCTTATTTAGCAACTCACCATGTATCTCTTCTTCATTAGAAACTCACCATATACATAGGAGAGTAAAAATCCTCTCTCTCTCTCTCTCTCTCCCTTGTGTTTGGCGGGTGTTTGGGACCTCGTAAAGTCACTACTTTTTCTGAATTTTTATTTTTAGTGATTTTTTTTTAATAGTGATACTATACGCATTAATTAATATATCGATATATGTTATGATATTGTCATTTAATACTATAATTCTACTCATTATATAAATTATAAAGACCTGAAATCTTTAAAATTATATCATATCATCTGTTAGTACACTAATTAATATACCAATTTGTCATATATAGCATTATTCTTTTTCAAAATCATGTAAAAAAATTTATTTTTTTCAATTTGTTTGTCTTATGTAGAAGAATCTAGAAAGTAAATTTTTTTAAAAATTTCTAAAAATAATTTAAAAAGCCAAAATAAACACACACAAAAAATCACTATTTTTTTTGTTTATTTTTGTCTTTCTTGAATGTTATTTAAAATTTTCGATTCTTCTCGTCAAATTAAATCTAAAAATTTAAAACTTTTTGGATTTTATTTTTTTAAAGTTCACTACAATTGAAAATAAACCAAAAAAAAAAATTACCAAATAAACAAACCCCAAAAATATCAATTTTTTATTTTTATTTTTATCTGTGATATTTTTTTTTTTTTGAAAGAAATTATGTCAAAATTTGTTATTTTTCATAATCATCTTGTATGGAAGAATCTAAAACATAAAATGAAATTAAAAAATTGGTTTGGTTTTTCAAGATTCATTTTTTAGAAAATTGGAAAAACAAAATTCCTTATTTTTTTTATTTTCACTAAAAATTGTTTTAATATTCTAAGGAATTTTTTTTTATTTTTAGATACACCTAACATAAACACACTTAAAAGAATAATATTTGTGAAAAAAATATTTAGAAAATTCACTAAATACCAAATATAAAAAAAAAAAAACGACAATTTAGTACATTTTTCATATTCTTGTATATTTATTGATTTTTTAAAATATTTTTTTACAAATATTTTACTTTTTAGATACATCTAAGTAAGGTGCATCTAAAAAAGTAAAAAAAATATTTCAAATTTTAAAAATATTCACTAAAAATAAAAAAAATAAAAACACAAAAAATAAAAAATTCCATTTTCAAAACATTAAATCCAAAAAATTGAAACCAAACACTTTTTTGCTTTTTTTTTAATCTTTCTAGACTTTTGCTTAGAATTTTTAATTTTTTTATTTACTTTTCTAGTTCGTCTGGTTAAGAAATACCCAAAAAGTGTAGGGCCTGTTTGGTAACACTTACGTTTCAGTTTATGTTTACAAAAATTTTATAAACTAGTTTTTGTTTATTTTTAGAAAAATATAAACTACAAATACGTTTGGTTTGGACAAAATGTTTGAAAATTTTAAAAAATATAAACTAAAAGAGTGAGAAATGACGAGTGGTGGCGTGGCGGGTGGTGGGTGGTGATGAGTGGTGGCGGATGGTGGCAGCTGAAGACGGTGGTGGCGGGTGAACGGTGGCGACGGAAAGACGATTGTGTGGGTGGTAGCGAGTGGTGTGACGGAAGACGATGAAGGCGGGGGCGGGTGATGGGTAATAGCGGCAGGTGGTAGGTGGTGGCGGCAGAAGACAGTGATGGAGAATGGTAGCGGAAGACGGTGGTGGAAAGTGGTGGCAGGTGGTGGTAGCGGGTGGTGGTGGCGGAAGACGGTGGTGAAAAGTGGCAGCAGGTGGCGCGGATGGTGGTAGCAAAAAGACGGTGGTGGAAAGTGGTGGCAGGTGGTGGCAGCGAAAGAAGGTGGTAGAAAGTGGTGCGGGTGATAGTGGCAGAAGATGGTGGTGGCGGGTGGTGGCAATGGTGGCGGTGAAAGACGGTAGTGGAAAATGGTGGCAGGTGGCAGGTGGTGGCGGCGGCAGAAGATGGTGGAGAAAGTGATGGCGGGATCGGTGGTAGCAGCGGAAGACGGTGGTGAAAAGTGGTGGCAGGTGGCGGGTGGTGCGGCGGAAAGACGGTGGTTGGAAAGTGGTGGCAGGTGGTAGGCAGCGAAAAAAAGGTGGTGTGGAAAAAGTGGTGGCGAGTGGTAGCGGCGGAAGATGGTGGTGGCGCGGTGCTGACAGCAAAAGACGGTGGTGGTGGGGGATGGGTGGTGGTTGCGGAAGACGGTGGTGGAAAATGATGGTAGGTGGTGGCGAGTGGTGGGTGGTCAAAAAAAAAACACTGAAAATGTAAACTCATTTTTTGAGTTTACAAATTTTGGCCAAATTTATAAACTAAGACCACTAGTTTATAAACCAAAATATTTACCAACAAGTTTTTATGACAATTTTTTAAATTTTTGTAAATATAAATTGAAAACGTAAGTGTTATCAAACGCCACCATAATATTTTTTATTTTATTTTTTAAATCCACTAAAGAGTGAAAAAATTTAATTAAAAAATCATTAAAAAAAATCAATCCCAAACATCTATCCCAAACATCTATTTGTCTTCCTCTTTGGCAGAAAGGATAGAGCTGAATTGGGATGAAATAAAGAAGAAGACAAGTTTGATCAAAATAATACTAATATAAATTATATAATAATACTACAAATTTGCCAAACAATAGAGAAATAGATCTCTTTCTTCTTACTTGGCTGCTTCTTATATATAGGAGGAACAATTCAATTTTGCTACAAACGCTTCTGAGGCCCTGTTTGGTAGAGTTGTGAGAAAGTACTTATAACTTATACTTAAACAGCTTATAACTTATAACTATGAACATAAGTTGATTTCTGACTTATAAATTAAGCATCTCCTGCCCCACTCAATGAATAAGCTGATTTCTGACTTCCAAAAAAGTTATAAGCTATAAGTTATAAGTTAAACTAAACACATCAAAATAACTTAAATTAAACTAAAAATTGAAATAAGTAACTTTTAAGCTGCACCAAACAGGGCCTGAATTACTTGGTAATGGTCCCCAGCTTTTATCATGTGATGTGAGTAGCTTGTATAGTTTTTTAGTAATTTATTACGTGTTTCTATCTTTTTTCGTAACAATTAAGAAGAGATTAATATAAATAATATTATATATATTAATTAATATATTAATTAGTATACTAATAGATGATGTGACATAATTTTAGAGATTTTAAATATTTATAATTTGTATAATAGGTGGGGTTAATAATAATGACATAATACTAGTTGATACACTAGTGTGTACATTAATTAGTATATGTAACACCACCGGTTTAATATATAAGAGTTTTTTCGACTAAATTTTTTTATTTCTAAAAATAAAAATTTTGTTATAGAAAATATTAATAGGTTAATTTTGATCATAAAAATAAAAATAAAAAACTTTTAGCAACAAAATTTAAAAAATGTCGTTGATAAATGGACTTTTAATGACAAAATAATTTCGGATAAAAATGTCTACTTTTTTAGACAAAAAATTTGATCCTAAAAAGATCACAGTTATTACTAAATGTCTAATTTTATCATTAAAAATATAATAATGATATTTTTTATAATAAAAATATTTTATTCTTAAAAAGTGATTTTTTTTTTTCCCTAAACTTTTATCTTTAAAGTCCTAATTTGTTGTATTGAGAATAGTATTTTATGTTACGTACAAGAAAGAACACCTTTAGCGACCAAATTTTTTGGTTGCAGAAAGAATTTATCTGGTCGCCTATAGTCTTCCGTGACCAGATTCTTGTGTCTAATAATACTTAAATATCTAATCATAAATTAATTTATAAGGTAAATTACATTTTCACTCCCGTTTTAATTTAAATTGCATTTTAATTCCTCATTTTCTAATTACAATAATTAAGTTTTGCATTTCAACCATTATTTCAAAGAAATTCTGATGTTACTCATCATTAAAAAAAAAATGCACAAACAATCTTCACGTGAGCATGTTTTTATGGCATTAAAGAAAAAAGTGCGAAAAATTTATCCTCTGGGGTTGGTTTGGCAAGGGTTTATTGGGCTTTTTTGACTCAATAAGCCATAAAAGACAGAATAGGCTCATGAGCCACAACAGACAAAACATCCCATCCAATCCCATAATCATTACACTCTTCTCTCACAAAAAAATTAAAAAAATCAAAAAGTCAAAAGTCCTTCCCAAACTAAGCTTTTGAGCCCAGGCTCATATAGCTAAAAAAGCCAAAAAATCAAAAAGCCAACCCACTTCCCAAACGGAGGCTAACTTTTACACTAATTTCATTTTAGTCTTTTATACTTTAACTTCCGCTTAAATTTTAAACGGTAAAAAAACGAGAGGATTACATTTAAACAGGTTAAAATTAAAGGACGTATATGTTATAAATAAAAAAATGTAAGAGATCAAATTCAAATAAAAGTTAGAAGACAAAAAAATGTTATGCATCCTAATATTACTCATTTCGTGTTGAGAAAATTTATGATGTACACGCTATAAATATGAGATTTTATAGTAAAAGTTATAAATATTTGTAATGTATTACGTGAATTTATGATAAAAATTATGAATAATTAATTTATGGCATACGTCTCAATGTAAAAATATATTTTTATGTTGTTTTACTATTTGCTATAAAATTTTATAGTATTAATATGATGGGTTTGACTTCTCTCATATGTTGAGGATCCAATTTAAGAGAGAAATTGGGCTTAGTAGACCCATTGTAAGCCCGATCTCGGTAATTCAAACCGTTCGCTTTAAAAAATTTATTGAGAAGAATATTCATGTAAAAAATAAGATGATTGAATTTTAAATCACATTAGTCTTAAAAAAATGGACAGTTATTCTTGAAATTATATTTGCAATCTATTTTTTTAAGATAAATATGATTCAAACATATATTTATAAAAATCCAATTATTTTTTATTTTTTACATTTATATTTTTCTTAATGAGTACTAAAAAATGAATAATTTGACTAACCTACTAAATTCAAATATTCTTTCAAATTAATTTGTGAACATAAAACAATCCAAATCTAAATAGGGGGATTTGGTGATAGCCCCCTCACCATCTAATTTGTCTTTCAAAAAGACAAGAATTATATAAGTACTTTCAAA